TTATCCTTGGATCAAGCAGTTATTACCCTACATTGAAAGATTATATCCTTGAACATTCTGTTTTTGCAAGTATGCATCTAGTAGCTGTTTGAACATCTGTATGGACTCTGATAAAACCACTTCTTCATGCAGAGAATTCCACATCCTTATTGTTCTTACAGTAAAAAAACCTTTCCTTTGCCTTAGACGTAATCTTCTTTCTTCCAGTCTAAACGCATGACCTTATGTCCTATGTAAAGTCTGGTTTGTGAATAGATTTCCACACAATGGTTTGTATTGGCCCCGAATATATTTGTATAATGTTATCATATCCCCTCTCAGGCGACATTTTTCTAAACTAAATAGGTTTAAATTTGTTAACCTTTCTTCATAGCTGATATGTTCCATCCTTTCATTAATTTTGTAGCCCGCCTCAGCACTTTTTCTAGTGCCATAATATCCTTCTTTAGAACAGGTGCCCAAAATTGCACAGCATATTCAATATGTGGTCTTACCAGTGATTTATAAAGAGGCAAAATTATATTCTCGTCCTGAGAATGAATGCCCTTTTTCATGCATGACAATACCTTACTGGCTTTGGCCACAGCTGATTAATATTGCATATTGTTGCATAGTTTGTTTTCTATAACAATTCCCAAGTCCTTTTCTTGTGTTGTTATCCCTAATTCGCTTCCATTAAGCGTAAACGTTGCTTGTGTATTCTTTACACCGAAGTGCATAACTTTGCATTTTTCAACATTAAAATTCATCTGCCATTTGAGTGCTCAGTCCCCCAGTCTATCTAAATCCCTCTGCAGCAAGTACTTTATTATTTTTTTTCTTCACTCGTCTCATTTGAGATATCTTTTTAGGTCTTTGAACATTTACACATTTTTTATATATCTTTACTTTATCTTTTTATTTTTTATTATTTTTTTATCATTATTATTTTTTATTATTTTTAGGTTTCTTTTGCATCTTCTCTATACACCCCACACATGATTTATTTCTCTGGATATCTCCACTATTCTACTCATTTTGGTTATTTACATTTTCTTCCGCATGTTCTCATATATCCTCTACATTATTTCCTCCATGCAGTTTTTAATATGCATGTCACTTGGGGTTTTTGGTATGGCTACATGGTTTCCGTGGATACCCGTTGTTATCCACGTCATCACGCATGGTCACGCAGTAATTACCGCCTTACTCTAGTTGGGTCACAGGGTCACGCCACAACGCATGCGCATGGCCAGCTAGCACTGCACGGGAATCGAATCACACAGATGGGGTAAGTTATGCACTTAAAGGACCACTACAGTGCCAGGAAAACAAACTCATTTTCCTGGCACTGTAGTATTAATAGGTCCCCCCCCCACCCCATGGCCCCCCTCCCGCCGGGCTGAAGTGGGAGGAATGGGTTAAAATCTTACCTTTCTCCAGCGCCAGGCTCCCTCGGCGCTGGGGATTCTCCTCCTCCTTCCAACGTCATCGGCTGAATGCGCGGAAAGAGCCGCGCGCGCATTCAATCAGTCCATAGGAAAGCATTTCAATGAGACAGCCACTAGAGGCTGGATTAACCCATATGTAAACATAGCAGTTTCTCTGAAACTGCTATGTTTACAGCTGCAGGGTTAACACTAGATGGACCTTGCACTCAGACCACTTCATTAAGCTGAAGTGGTCTGGGTGCCTATAGTTGTCCTTTAAGTTTTATTATATATGTACACTGTTTTACACTGTCATTATCTTGATAAAGACCCTGGAGTGTCGAAACGTTGATGTATAGATTGTGATAATTTTTTAATACACTTGGAAAACCGAGAGAGTGTTCCTGTCTTTACTTTGTATGCTTTGCTGGGAGGCACCCGAGTATAGTTCCACTTTTATATATTTTTTGGGGTTGAGTGCCAGAGCCTGGACATTATATATATATATATATATATATATATATATATATAATATTATTTTTATTTATATATACATAGATATATAATTTCATTCTAAGTCTATTTTTATATAAATATACATATCAAAATACAATTAGAATAAAATTACATATGTATATATAATTTTTTTATATTATGTTTACATTTATTTACTTATTTATATTTTATAATATATATATTTATATATAAACATACACACGTGTGTAATTTCATTACAAGCGTATTTTTATATTAACATACATGTAAATATGGATATAAAAATACTTAGTTTCTCTCTCTATATTTATTTATTACATTAACATTTTTTCCTTTTTTTACAGCAGCAGGGAGACTGCCTGTTAGTTTAGGCCTATTGCGGCCATATCATTGCTCTTTCAGAATTATCACATGGCCCGCGGGGGGCCTAATTCGCCGAGGGTGCGCTGTCTGTGCGGTCAGGCAGTCCCCCCCATGCCGGGAGCAATGCCAATCGTCAGCAGGGGAACAGCGGCAATCGGGTAAGCAATATATTTGCCGTGGACGTGTCCTTAAGGACCATTTTTGTCGGACGTACCTAGTACGTCCATGGTCTTTAAGGGGTTAATGTCTTCCCCATGCCTTTATAAATATGTCATTATGCTATTCTAATTTCCTGTACATTTTGTGACATGTTTTGGTTATTTGAATTTTATTATGTTTGTCACAGCAATGTATATGTAACGAACGTATGAGCTAGTCCCAAGTTCACAAAGTATTGGATGTTAGTTCCATTTGGAACAGTGTCCTGTATGGATTTTTAGGGATCCCATACACAGAGTTGTCGTACATGTTGGCTGGCTGCATGATCCCTCTAGCCCTGGGATTAAGCAAGAGAGCTAGGCATGAGAGCGGATGTAGGCACGGGAACCATAACATTTGACGTGTTTTTGTTAACCTAGTGTCAAAGTGTCTGGCAACTAATACACCCTGTCCCAAATTATTATGCAAATTCTATTTGTGTCACAAAGATTAAATATTTTGTTTTTCAGTTTATCTCATGGATGGCATTGTGTCTCAGGGCTCTTTTGATCACTGAAAACAATCTTGGACACCTGTGATAATTAGATTGGCAGGTGAGCTCAATTTAAGGAAAAACTACTAAAGGAGGGTGTTCCATATTATGAAGCAGAGCACCATTTTCATGCAATATGGGGAAGAAAGAGTGAAACAGTTCAATGCCTTGGACGAGGTATGAAAACATTAGCTATTTTACGAAAACTTAAGCGTGATCATCGCACTATTAAGAGATTTGTGGCTGATTCAGAGCACAGACGGGTTTGTGCAGATAAAAGGCACATTGTGGAAGATTTCTGCCAGATCCATGCATCGGATCAGCTGCTAAAATACCATTACATAGCAGCAAACAGATATTTGAAGCTGCTGGTGCCTCTGGAGTTCCACAGACATCAAGTTGTAAAGTCCTCCAGAGTCTTGCAACTGTGCATAAACCTATTCGGCCACCACTAACCAATGTTCACAAGCAGAAACGGCTGCATTGGGCAGAAAAATACATGAAGACTAATTTTCAAACAGTCCTGTTCACTGATGAGTAGCGATGGATGGTGGACAGCCACCCTGTTCCAACAAGGCTGCAACGTCAACAAGGAGGTGGTTGAGACGTGTTTTGGGCCGGAATCATGGGAAGAGAGCTGGTCGGCCCCTTTAGGGTCCCCGAAGGTGTAAAGATGACCTCTGCAAAGTATGTGGAGTTTCTGACTGACCACTTTCTTCCCTGGTACAGAATGAAGAACTATGCTTTCCATAATAAAATCATCTTCATGCATGACAATGCACCATCTCAATAGCTGCTATGGGGATAGAAGAGAAAGTCATGGAGTGGCCTCCATCTTCCCCTATTGAGAACCTTTGGAGCATCCTCAAGCAAAAGATCTGTGAGGGTGGGAGGCAGTTTACATCCAGCAATAAGCACTGTAAATAAACTGGGAACTATAATCACTGAGGGAATCCTTGGCGGCAACACTCTGATCTCGCTGCGAGTAGGCCGCCACTGAACCTATTAAATCTGTTTTAGGTTTTACTGTCTAACTTGAAAGAGATTTAAATGAAGAATTTTTTTACCTGGAGACAAATTTAATAAATCCACAAAAACCAAGGATTCAGAACACCCAGAGCACACTAAGAATGTGAAAAAAGAGTGCACTATTCCTGTAAAGATTTAGTTCTTGTGCATGGCCAGATCCCACTCTGGACACCAAGGAGCACTGCGTATGAGCCCACCTCCAGGAGATTACAATTACAGAGAGTAACTACTTACCAGATGCAGGACAATTAGCCCTTTACAGTGAAAGATCTGGCAGAAAATAAAAATTTGAAGCATGAAGAACATCAAGGGAGACAGCAACCCTAAGACTTTCTCCCCCCACCTGCCGACTAAAGACAAATAGGGAGAGTAAAGCACAGCCAATTCCTATTGCTGTAAATAAGAATTACTCCCATAAAGTCGTTTTATTCCCTAAATGATTTCTGGCCCAGTTAGTACTGCCCAGGCAGATCACATGGTAAGGCGAGATCAAAACAAACATTTAAAAAAAATACAAGAAAATACAAAAAAAAACCTGCGTGCCATCTGACGGCAGGAAAAAAGACTGGGGAAGCTAGATGAGGCTTTATCTGCTTACGTAACCGCTTTATTAGAGTCCCTGACATGATTTCTGAAAGGAGAGATTAACCCAATATTGATGTGGTTATGGTTAGCCAGGAAAATTTAATTTGATTTGTTGTAACCAGCTGAAACATTTATGCTCAAATCTACTGACCCGTGAATCACAATCATCTGTTTGGTCACCCTAAGGTTTAACATATTGTTTTTTGCTGTTGATCCAAAAGAAGGCAAAAAAAAAAAACCAGTTTGAATCACTTGCAATTTTGCAACAAGCTAGGAATAAAATTCCTTCTTGACCCCAGAATGGCAGTCAGATTTATCCTTGGATCAAGCAGTTATTACCCTACATTGAAAGATTATATCCTTGAACATTCTGTTTTTGCAAGTATGCATCTAGTAGCTGTTTGAACATCTGTATGGACTCTGATAAAACATTTTTCACAAACCCTTGCTTAGAAACTAAACCCATAATGGCTTCTGTTCATGAAATTGATTGACAACACAAGTGAATTGGGAAATCCTACATTTGGGACACCATTCTACTCTCTTAAGAGTTTTATTTTGTGTTAATGTTTGAAAAGCTATTAAAATATTTTGTCACTTTCACAATTTAAAATTAAGTGACATGTTTACCAAAAGAGCGTTTTGTATCCTTTGGATAAGTGGATTAAATTACACTTTACCCTGTGTTTTATAGCTTTTTGCAGTTTATCGCACTAGGGTTTTGCTTTCTCCAGTCATCACACGTCCATCTGACCCAAGCAGGTTTGAAAAGGACTGCAGTGTTTTTTTTGTTTTTTATTATTATTTAGTTTTTGATACCCATGTTTTAACACAGAAGACGTGTTTTGTCATTGGCTGTTGCCAAGTCCCAAGGGCAAACATTAATGAAGAGTGGCCTAATGTCCATACATTATATAAAAATGCAATCCCCATCACATAACTGCTGGGCTCAAACCTGAATGCTTGATGCTGTCCGCATACAATTAAATATTGAAAGCAAACACTACAAAGAACAAATGAATGGGTTGCAGCCAAGAACTACAAATTAAATTTAAAAAAAAAAAAATTTTTTTTTATTTTTTTTACACTGTGACTACATTGCACACATCATTCAACAAAACTGGACTTTTATTAATAAGATACTTTCATGGTATGTATCTTGCATTAAAACTATGCAACTGCAAAAGTGACACTAGGTATGCCTCTAGACTCTTTTCAGATAAAAAAAAAAATAAAGTGTTCCTTTCTGCTATACTAAACACTTTACAAAGATCCAATGGATGGATTTAGATGCCCTTCTCTCTCTTTATCAGACATCTCACGAATCCCATGGGTGTAACGGAACCAGCATATATTTTTGGTTGAAGTGATAACTGTAAATCCTTTTGTTTTACAGCGACATCAATACCCATGTACAATAAAGACATTGATAGTTTCACATAACAGTCCACCCAATCCAAAAGATGAATTTGGCTCAATTTGTCATAGTTCCACTTTTCTCATTCTTCACTTTGAGAAATTCTGCCATGCTGGAAAAATATTTTTGGTTTGCCTCTGTCACTTTCTTCTCTGCAGCCTGAGGATTGACAATCTCCAAACCCTACAAGAAAGATCGGAAAACCCATAAGGTGTGTGGGGCAGCCGATTAGAACAACAATAATAGCGGTTTCATCTACAAATACTAACTTGGTTATTCAGTGAGTGGAATCATTTACCCAATGCATAATCAGAGGGAAAGGTGGCACTGTACTTGGCAAGACTGGGCAGAGCATTCTATTACTAGCTATACATGACATGGCAGTCTCCCACAACATCACACATACAGAGTAAGAGTAGTTCTGAGTAAATTATAAACTCCACCCCTGACTAACAGTAACACTGACCTTTAACAACAGGCTTATCAGAGTATGGTCTGAGATATATCAGTACAAAGCTCACCTGAAGTGGTGTGAAGGCTACACTGGACGCAGTACCAGACGATCTGTCCCTTATCGTAGATTTTCCTCCATAAACCACACTTTGTTTTTGCAATGTGCGCTGTAAACACAGACAGACAATGTGAGAGGTACATTAAAATAGCAACAGGGAGATCATATCCAGCCAATGCATAATGTGATTTATTTACAATTGTTGAAACCAAAATGCTTTGAAAGACATTACATGTAATCTTGCAATAGAAAATAAAAAGGCATCTGTAGCTTTTATTAGCCAAATAGCTTGGTATAACAAAATAAATTTAAAATAAAGCACATAAAGCTTACATCTGTATGTCAAAAGGGATATAAGCTATATTTATATTCGATACCAATCAGGAAAGTTTTATATATCTCTCTCTACTTCCACAATGGAATATGCACGGTTCACTTAACACTCACAAAGAGGACTTCAGACAAATATGCAACGTATACTGTAAAGTTTAAATTGGTATATATATCCGTATCCATCACATTCACTTATTCACGAGACCGTAATTTCAATGGAATGGAATAGTTTGTTTAAAAAAAAAAAAAAATAACCTAGCCAAAATTCAGTGGAGGGGTTTAGTTATGGTAAAAGATCCTATATTGCATAAGTCTACCACAAGGTTGTGGCACATGTTTGGCAATCTGGTGCTTCTCTATCTTAGTTTCCAAATTCTGATAGGGGGCTAGGGCCTTCAGCAACCAGGAAAGGAAAAACCTCAAGTGTAGAAAACTTCTGGGTAAACCTGGCTTAAAAAAATGTTCTACAAAAAAAAAAAAAAAACACCAGCAGGAGATCTGTGTTTGTGTATTTTGTTATTTTTATTACAAGTGTAAGAGGCATATTTGACTTATGTTACCTGTAATGTTTTGGATATCCTGGCCTTAGTAGCTTCATTGACTTGGGCCTGTCTAATTCTTCCACTGCCAGATTTCCCAAGATGTCCTAAACTGAAGCCCAGATCTTCCTGATATGCATCTTCCTCAATCTAAAACAGAATGTGCAAAATATGCCATTAGTTACCAAACATCATAATTACAGAATCAAGATGCAAACAAAACACATATTTTGAAATCTCTTAAACTAGCCCTAAATAATATTTTCAAACCTTTGGTCCTAATCCAGGGTGGCCAAAAAGGTGAACTCCTAAGTAGTAGAACGAATACTTCCGCAATCCATCACAGAGTTGCAGTTGTACAATATCTGGGTGGTCATATTATGCTATTCTAAGAGATCTTTTTTTTCCCTTAAGGTTAAGGAACAATTATACACGTGTTCATTTTCTCCAGTTCACAGTATTTGTATACATATCAGTTCATAACATTTAGGGTAAATGTCATTACTCCTAACAACTGACAAGGTCAATGTGAACAAAAATCAAGATGAAGTATGTTTAATTGATACGATACTATCTTAGAGTGTGTGCGCGCATGCATAAAATATATAGCAAGAACAGACCTCGCCAAAACTCATTCGGTTAGCTTGTTTACGAATTTCTGTCAGCCCAAGACGTTCTTTCATTTTTCTGTATCTAATAACGATAAACAAAAAGTGGATGTTACGAAGCACATTTCCAATAAGGTGTCCTACAAGAGAATATGATGAACCAGTTTTAAAGGGTTACTCCAGGCATCATAACCACTTCAAACCTGTAAAACAGCTATTGTGCAAGGATCCGGTCTGTGCAGCCTTTCATCTTGAAACGGTACAAATTCAGAGGGATTATACATTTTCTTGTTGGAGTGTTGCTCAACCCCCAATCAGTGAACCACTTTAACCCCTTAAGGACCAAACTTCTGGAATAAAATGGAATCATGACATGTCACACATGTCATGTGTCCTTAAGGGGTTAAATCAAAACTGTTTCAAGGCTGGAAATATCAATTGTTGGCTGATCATGTTTATCCCAAAAATCATTTTTAGCCGGAAATATTATTGACATTTTTAAAGGTGTTCTGTCAACTTACAAAAAAAATAAATAGTGTTACAAACAAAAAGGTTATGCTTTGTCTAGAACAAAAAAAAACAAAAACAAAAAAAAAAAAAAAGAAAAGAACCAGCCTTTTTCCCTGCACAATGTATCTATACAGCATGAGAACACAGACACGCACACCAACAATTATACCTATGAAATCAGCCATTCATTCTACAAGTTCATCGGTAGAGATTCTTACATAGTTTTGCACATGCATAATACAACGTAGTGACAGGAATTTTTGAAAACATGACAGAGGGAGAACAGCACTTTTATCGAACGTTATCCTAGTTATCGCCACACTACTTCAGCACACCTGTGTGTGTCTTAAAGGACCACTTCAGCTTAATGAACTGGTCTGGGTGCCAGGTCCATCTAGGATTAACCCTTTTTTCTATAAACAGAGCAGTTTCAGAGAAACTGCTATGTTTACGTTAGGGTTAATCCAGCCTCTAGTGGCTGTCTCACTGACAGCCGCTGGAGGTGCTTCTGCGCTTCTCACTGTGATTTTCACAGTGAGAAGACGCCAGCGTCCATAAGAAAGCATTGAGAATGCTTTCCTATGGACTGGCTGAATGCGCGCGCGGCTCCTGCCGCGCATGCGCATTCAGCCGAAGAGGGAGAAGAGGGAGGAGAGGATGAGAGCAGCCCGTCGCTGGAGAAAGAGGTTAGTTTAACCCCTTCCACTCCATCCAGCCCGGCGGGAGGGCGATCCTGAGGGTGGGGGTACGAGTATGTTTTCCTGGCACTATAGTGGTCCTTTAATTAAAAGAGTAAAATACAGAGTGGTACATTATCTTTATTCAATTTCAGTGAATTTGGCCAGTATATGCTAACCTGCGTCCTCCACGTTTTTTCCTTTGCCCATCAAGGGGCGCAGGAAGAGGCTTCACTTGTTTGACTGGAGGAGGTTCTTGCCATTTGTCAAACTTCCTTTCAATCTCTTCCTTTAGGTCATAACCAACCTGTAAAGGAAAATAAAACAAAAAGCAGATAAAAACCACAGTCATTGGCAAAGTGGAATAAAAATATCCAGCAAACAACGTTGGAAGCAAATTAACATAATTGTTTTCCCAAGGGAATAATAGGTATTACTCTATTATACATTCTGTTATCAAGTGTTGCTCCATTCACCCCATAATATGGTTTGGTATGGTATCAGCATTTACAAAAAAACTACTGTAAATAGAGGCGGAATAGGATTGTCCATTTAAAATGATAGGTAGACAGAAGAACCGCATATATATCCGGGGAAATCTATTCACAAACTGGACTATACATTAGGACACAATGTCATGCGTTGACTGGAAGAAAGAGGATTTAGTTGAAGGCAAATCAAAGGCTTTTTTACTATAAGAACAAAAAGGATGTGGAATTCCTTGCCTGAAGAAGTGGTTTTATCAGAATTCGTAAAGATGTTTAAAAAGCAACTAGATGCATACTTGCAAAACTTCAACTGTAGGGGTAATAGCTTTTTGATCCAAGGACAAATCTGACTGCCATTCTGGGACCAAGAAAGAATTTGTTTTCTTGATTTGTTGCAAAATTGGAAGTGCTTTAAACTGGGTTATTTTTTGCCTTCTTTAGGATCAACAGCAAAAAACAGATGTGAGGAAGGCTGAACTTGATGGACACGTCTCATTTTTCGCATATGTAACTATGAAACCAAGTATGTGAAAGGGGCAAGGAAAGAAGCCGAATGAACGGAGAGAGGCATTGGAACAGAGGGCAGTCTGGTCTGCAATAAAAACAAAAATACACATTTTCCCCATCCCTGAATATGGTTAGTGAAGAGAGATTCTGAAAGCTCTGGGGGGCTGTTGTATAAGCATGGATAGTTTCAAGAGCCTTATATATAAGTGGATTCTACAAGTCTGACAGACAGGAGAATATGTTATAACAAAAATATATGTTGTCCATTTTCTCCAAGTCCTCAAAGCCAAATTTTCTAGGTCTCTCAAAAACCTCCACCGTTCCTAGTACTGACTTCTCTTGGTTCAACTAGTCCACTAGTATATCTAGTAAACTGTGTGTGGACTAGATGTTCTCTGTGGTCTTTCCTTACTTGCACAGACTACAAGTCACCAATAAGTTCTTCAAATTCTCTTTGGCTGCTCTATAGATTTCCTCCAAGTAGCTTGCATTGCATGACAGCTAATGACCAGGATAAAAAAAAAACAAAAAAAAAAAAAAAACTCATCTTCCAAAGAAATCACCTGAATCTAGAGTTATCCATAGAACTGCCATTTTAGATTGAGAGACTCGTGATGTGTAGAAACATAAAATCACTGATATTATTGGAAATAAAGGTCAGCATGCCAGATTTTTTTTAACCTCCAAATAGTTTCCAGGTATGTGAGATTTTTTATTTTTATGCAACAATTCTAGATACAAAGTATATTACATGTTGCGGTCAGTCAGCTAAGGCATCATAATCATTGTATAACAGGCCTTTGTTATACAATGGCTAGCTATGGCCATAGTCTCTTTTTCATTTTATTTGTATGTAAAACAATGCAAGCAGCTGTGTAAATTTTGCAATTGGTCTTCGCTGCAAATGGTCCAAATCTTGATAAAACCATAATGTAAGCTCTGGAATAATTTAAAATACACTATTAGCAGCCATCATTAATCCAAGGAGTATCCTAAGGTCTAGGACTGTTGGGAGGTACGCACCCCCTACAATTCTACCTGGTCTCATATTACCATGAGGTACTTTAGTACCTTCTTCCACTTGCTTATTAGCCTATCAGGATAGAGACTGACACTTGCAGTCACTTTTTATATACAATATTGATTTGACGAGAACATTAAATAATTCCGCAATCTCTCCTTCACTCACTAACTCTACCCTCATCTATGCATCGTGTAACCAGTGTTAATGTTGTCTAGAGATTTAGGCAACTAGACTAGAACTAAAACAATTCAGGTGACAAATACGACTAAAATGGCTTTTTAGTCAAAAGACTGACTAAAAATTTGCTGCCACAATGAACACCGCTTGTAACCCAGGTTTGTTTTGCCTCACTGCCTGTTGCCCTCTACTTACCCTACTTGTGTGTCTAATTTCCTCTATTTCTTGCTTTTTGAGTGCCTCATGTATACAAGGCTCTCTCTCTCACACTCTTCAACCACATTTCCGCTCTCACCACTCTGAGGAAACTACTCTAAGATAGCCACAGTGTTCATTTCTGCTAAATCCAAAAGGATAGAATAGTTAGTTAATCTGGGGTCAGAGCTTGTAGATCCAAGCAGGAATCCAAATTGTATTTTTGAGTCAAGTATATTTAAATTGCTTTATATTGGAATTACTTCATATTGATACAGCAGCAGCAATAGGGATGTGCAAAAGCCTTTTTAGCCTTTATTACTATGAAAGTTTCGTCCTGTGGGCTACAGCTTATAAATATATTAGGCCAAGTTCTGGATCCCCTTCTGTTTCCACAGAAACAATTCTAATTCCATCCTTATTAATTCAAGTAACCCATCAGCTGCTGACATACGGAATATATTTTTGCAAGTACCTTCTCCATAACCATGTATCCCAACTCTTTCAGTCAATGGAATACACCACACAAGTGTACTGTCTTGGCATCATTCTCATCACATGTCTAACTTCCAGATCCACGTACATGTTATAACTATAGCTTGCATTCATCATCTTCCCCAGTTTTTGTTTTTATGATATTCCCTTTTTCTTGCTTTCATTTTTCCCCATTTTTTTTTTTTCTATGTTGGCATGTTGCCTCCCGTTACAGTGAGGGAATCAGTGCCCTTTATGTCTTTTGTGTGATATAAATATTGTGACACTGCTATTTGTTTTCTCATATATTATAAGTTGAAAATCTGTAACTTGCATTTGCCTTAGGCTCCAAAAGCGCTCATTCATGCTCCTGTATTGATTGCTGCAACCAGCACTGTATTTAGCGCGAGGCTGACAAGGCATTTGACTTGGGCAACAATTTCAGGGGGCAGCAAAAAAAGCTGTCCCTCAGTTGCCCTGGCAGATGCCTTGCCAGCCTCTTGTCCTGGGGGACCCAGTAGCTGGCCGATTAGCATCTGCACAGGTGGGCGTCGAGGGAGCACTCTCCCCTGAGCTCTTCCTGCTCAGCTCCCTCGCGCACCCACAGTGATGCCAGAGCCGGGACATGACGTCACTCCGGCATCACTAAGAGGCGCGCGAGGGATTGGAGTTCCCTCACCGCCAAGCCTCCACCGTTCGCCCGTTCTGCCCAACTGGACCCAGGAAAGAATCCACTCCAACACTCCCAAAAGTAGGGAGGCTGGGTGGGTTAAACTCTCAGTCACTGAGAGTGTGTGTATGCGCATCTGCGACAGCGTGTCTGTCTGTTAGTGAATCAGTGAATGTGTATGTCTGTTAATGAATGTATGTCTGGCAGTGAATGTATATATATATATATATATATATATATATATATATATATATATATATGTCTGTCAGTGAGCGTGTGTGTATGTAAGTTTGTCAGTTAGTATATGTGTTTCTCCCCGACACGGAGTGTGTATGCATTCGTGTATCGGTGTGCACGTGTGTGTCGGTGAATTTGAGTGTGTGTATGTCTGTGAATGTGTATAATTCAGTGAAAGTGTGTGTGACATTGACTGTGTATCGTTCAGTGACTGTATGTCAGTGCGTGTTTCTGTCAGGAAGAGAAATTTGGAAAGGGGGGAGGGGCCCCGAGTTTTCCATGCCTAGGGCGGCACAAAACCACAATACACTACTGGCTACAACCCATTACTAAAGCTGTGTAACCAAATCACCTGTGTTGTGGTTCAGTAATATTTAGACCAGCAACGGTTCCCAAAATAAAATAAAACACATTACTACAGGTCTAGAACTGACCTTTCCTTCAGGATTTTCATGAAAGCTGTCTACACGTGATGCTAATGTGCATTTGGCTGAAACCAATCTTGCGGCCTTTCGATGCAAGTCCTATAGAGGTAAAGTAAATAAATTACAATATAAAAATATCTGGTTGTAATAATAGAATATATATTACGTATACACACACTCCCCCCACAGGCAGCTTTTACTTACGGACGGCAAGGATTGCACAATGTCACTGTGATAGATATAGCCTGTATGTGGAAGCACAGAGGTGCTGGAGAAGCCAGATAAGGTCTTTCTTTGAGCTCCCAAAAGCATGACGTTACACGCGGGCATTTTTGAGAGATTTGTTAAACCACCAGCAATCCCTGTGTAAAAAAACAACAAAAACTGAAAGTCACTTTTGAATGTGCATTAAAAGGGCAAACATCACCCTAAAACTGCCAGTTTTAGTAGTGTTACCCTTATTCACTCACGAGTGCATTATATTCTATTCCTACAGACCTGACATACACCTGTATAAATGTATTACTGTTTCTTTATCTTTGTATTTGGATTGTACACTCATCCTGTTCTTCTGCAATCAATAACCTCTGGTTAAATCATTTAACCCCTTAAGGACACATGACATGTGTGACATGTCATGATTCCCTTTTATTCCAGAAGTTTGGTCCTTAAGGGGTTAAAGGGATTCTATGGTGCCAGGAAAACAAACCCATTTTCCTGGCACTATAGGCTCCTGCAATGCCCCCCTCCCGCCGTGCTGAAGGGGTTAAAACCCCTTCACAGTCACTTATCTGAATCCAGTGCGGATGTCCCTCAGCTCTGGGTCAGACTCCGCCCACGCACCTCCCCCACTGTGAGCTGGCGGGGGGAGACCTAATGTGCACGTGCAGCAATGACTGTGCTCACATTAGGATTTCCCCATAGGAAAGCATTATTCAATGCTTTCCTATGTGGAAAAAATCTGGCGCTGGAGGTATTCATGCAGAGCATGAGGACGTCCAGCGTCAGATAACGGACCAAAAGGTACGTTTCGATTCCGGAAGTCCCTCTAGTGGCTTTCTGGTAGACAGAGGTAATTACTGCAGTTTCTCAGAAATAGCAATAATTACCACTGTAGGGTTAAGAGACATTGGACATTGCACCCAGACCACTTCAATGAGCTCAAGTGGTCTGTGTGCCTAAAGTGTTCCTTTAACTAATCTGTTTATTTCTGTTTATTTACTCAGAGCAGATTACTTAAAGCAAGGTTAAAGCAAGGCTAAAGCAAGGCTAAAATGTTCCAATCGCCCATTAGACAACTAGGTCCCACCCTGAAAAGGGTGGCTGTTTATGCTGCTGTCCTGCCAATTCCATACAGTCACATTACAAGAGGATGTTTGCAGTGGCAAGTACCTCAAAACCTTCGCTAATACAACTGGATATGAAAGAAAGAGCCTGGATATATAAATATTAAATAACAGATTACATTAAAAAAAAAATAGATGAGTGTTACTTAGGAGTAACTTAAGTTTTACATAACAATATGGAAAGGTCACTGTTGCAATGCAAGAAACATGATGCCCACCTCTCTGGCACTTAGATTTGACTTAGCCAATTGCGACACTGCATTTTAATTTATTTTATTCCACCAAATACATGCATCCACCAACTTAAACGTATTCATGGACAGCCACTCCTTGGGGAAACAACAAAATCCAAAATTAACTTGTTGGTACACCCCAAATTAGAAAGGGAGATCCCACACAATATAATAGCACATTTTACAGATGTTATAAAATGTTCCAAGTAAAACGGTCGATTGACTTCTATTTAGTATATATTTTGTGCTGAACAAGCCAACAGTGCAGAAACCACAAATTCAATGAAGCATACCCATTATTTTGGCTGCAGTGGAGGCCCCTACAATGATGGAGAGATTGGGGGCAATGAAGGACATCCTTGACTCGACATACTCGTAGATTCTGTGCTTGGACTGATTTAACTCCAGAGCCATATCACACGCTTCCTCGATGCGATCTAGTTCATCGTCTGTTAGTTGTTGCCTACAGACACACAATGCAGTTTTATAAAAGCAGTCCCCTTGTAGGCAGCTAGTATGTGGGCCGTGATGGCGTTAGTTGATAACATAGAAGGTGAGACAGTAAAATGCAGTTGAATATAATTATATTATTTGAGCCTACCCTTGGGTGGTGGAAGCCGTCACACTCACAACCATTATAGTGGCATTGGTCAGGATTTGCTGCAGATTCTCGTTGTTTTTGCATTTGTCCAGACTATTTCCAAGTTCCTACAAAATATTAATGAGAAAACACCTTGAAAACCACCTTAGACTACTCTGTAGTTGTTGGTGTTTTGAAGATTTTCCTGTTGAGATTGTCACTAATTAGACTAAACAGGAAAAAAATAAATAAAAAGCAGTCAATTCGTAATATCTACAAAATAATATCTTGGAAAAATGCCATGTTCAGAAAAAAAGTCATCTTATTGTATAAGTAGCAATTCAACATATATCATCACACTATGCTGTGCCAACCTTTCCAGGTATATCGGATTTGAGTAAACATATTTTTACACAAATTCTGTTGGACACTAGACTCATTGATAATGCCAATCTTCTAGAGAGCACCTCACACACAAAACGCTACATATTCTGTACCATCATTGTGACATGTATTTATTCGATAAAATTACAATTCTAGAGATTTGAACTGATGGGCAACTCACTTTGTTAATGCAGTTTTGTGTGAGATTTAGGCAACTAGTATACTGCTGGTTTTGCAATGTGCAAAGAAAATTGATTTGTCAGCATATGGAAAAATCAACATTTTAATCAAAGATATTGGGAATGGAAGTTCTTTATTCCTTGGGTCCCCTGCCAGAAGCTCTAGTGCTTAGGTAAATTGCTTCCACTCTCAAGAGTTTTAGAAAGACTATTAAACTATCAAAGTAGCAGATATAAACCGGAACAAAAAAAAAAATGGTGAACAGTTACTTACACGGCATAACATATACATTGGACTATCTACTCAAGGTCAAATTATTTGTCGTTTGGAAGCGATGCCGCCGTGTGGAGAGCGCAAACTTTCTATATTTCAAAACTAAGCTAAAGCTGCATGTTAAAGTATATTGTTTTCACTGACAAAATGTTTACTCTCACAAAACATCATTAGGGTCACTTGGTATAAGCTTATGAAGCAAGCTATATACTTCTGAGACCCAGCCCATTAACCTGTTTCCCCTGTACTGGACATTTTTTCACATGCATCTCCTTTTATTCTTTTGAGCTGCTCAATCAGTCCCTGCTGTATTGTAAAGAGGACATCCTGGGCTTTCCAGTGATATGTCATGTGATCGGCTGGGATGCTGGGAACTTTCTCTTCCTTTTCATCAAAAATGTTAAAATACTTTTTACTCGGTTACCAGAAGGATATGCTAAAGTGTAACATTTAATACATATACCGACGTTAAATGCTATTCCCTAAACTCTGAATCTTAGCAAACTAAATTCAAATTTAAAGAAGAAATAGCTGATTTGGAAAAAAATCTCCAGCTCAGCTATAGTCATATCTTGGCTAGTTTAGTTTAAATTTTGTGGTTTGCATTTAATTTGCTAGAATTTGATGATTAATGAATAACCTTGAGTCTTGAATGAGAGCACTTGCTGGACTGTTCCAAGTGGCAAATAAAATTACTACATTATATCCTCAATCAAGAATAATATATGATGACCATGAAAGTATATTGATTGGGCTAAAAATTTTAAGTCCCGTGCTACTAGCCATGCCTTAGAAGTTACTTGCTACTGCAAGTCAAAGTATGCTCAACAGGGGTGAATTTCTATTCGACGGGGCTTCATTTTAACTTGCCAATGGATGCCCCCGAGGAAGGCTTAAGAGCCAAAACGTCTGGGTTTTCATTTCTCCTGCTCTTGGTCAGTATACCTTTTTTATGAGTGTTTACCTTTTTTTATTACTATTGTGGTACTGGTACTATGGATTTGGTATGCACTATTCTATGCACTTTTTTTCTGTCAAAGTTACTTGATATATTTCTTCAATGCATGAATAAACATTTATGTGCAAACCTTGGTGTGCCTTGGGTTCATTACTATCTCTATCTATATAGATAGAGTGTGGGAACAGATTTTTTCCCCTTAAATAGCACACAGTACTGTTTATACCACATTACTTCTCACCCACTTTCAGTTGAGCTTTTCTTATAATTATATATTCAATTTTAAAGATTAAACCTTGTTACAATATTATATGCAAAGCACGTACCTTTACTGTTCTTATGTAATCCAAAGCATTTGGAACCAATGACTCCAGTTCTGGAAACCTTTTTGAATATTTGTCTCTGATAAATTTATGAATAATATCTAAAAATAAATTTTAAAAAAATTAGAAAAGAATAAATAAATCAGCTAGAGGCGTATTACGTTATTTTCAAAATAGATGTTCACAGAAAAGAAAAAAAAATTAAAGTATATATAAATAATATACTTACTAAGTTCGTTCTCAATCTCGACAGTCAGATTGTTTGCATCAACAATAACTTTATATTCTGGAGCAGCTTCCACAGGACCCATTACTGAATATGTTTGAAACAAACAACAATTCATGGAGTTTTAAATAGAAAACGTACAATTTTATTGAAACGTCAACATCACTTTGAAAGTTTTCCACTGGGAATAAAAACATATGGCTTGCATTGAAATTCCATTGACATTTTAACAGAATCAAAATATATAAAAGACAGATGCAGAACACATCGCTTGCTTCAATGACAAATGACAGTGTTGATTACTTCTGTTTAAAAAAAAAAAAAAAAAAAAATCTGCCTCCCTCTGAATTAACAGTTAACATTTCATGGTTCTGTCTATACTGAAGAACATAAACAATGAAAAATTAAAAATACCTTCAGATGTGTCTGGTTGCTTTTTCACATATACGTCAATTTTCTCCAATATTTCTGCAAACTAAAAAAAAAAAAAGAAAATCAATGGCAATTTCCCCCCAAAATAAAACAGATGGGGGGGTCCTTTCTAAAATATGCAATGAATAAATGGAATTATCTTGTAAGTGAATGGTTAGTATATTTGAAGTGTTAGCATACTTAACATTACAAGTAGTGCAATTGTTGCAGACCTAATGAAGGGAGGGAGGTTTGGAGACAAAACCATTTATAATACAGTCCAGTACTAGCTGCCTTCTCTACGGTTTAAATTTTTGTATTTGCAAGGCAACTTTCACTATCTATAAAATATATATTTATTTATTTTTTTATTCCCACACATACACACACAAATGATATTCACATTGAATGTAAGTACCTCTGTATATATGGATTCATTTAAAGTACTTTAATAATTAGGGTGTGTGATTACTCCCTCACACTATGAGCAAGGTAGCCTTTTCACTAAACAGAATATGATTCAATTAAAATAAAATATAACTGTTTTTAGTCCTAATACTTACAGCTTCCTTAAATCCATAATTATTCAAACAATAGCCTGACATTACAGAACATGTTGTTAAGCTGTGCAAGACGTTGCGATAGAATTAAAACAACCTTAAACTCACCTGCTTGCTATCCCATAGCTTGGCTATACTCTTCACAGATTCTGCATTCATGTCAAGCTGCATCTCCTCCTCCACCTCTTCAATCATTTCCAAATCATCTTCACCTATTAGAGTCTCCTCTTCTTCCTCAGCTGCCTCCTCCAGGTCAGCGAGCAACTCATCCGCCAACGACATATTTTAAAGCTTATGAAGCCTAAATGAATGATAGAATTGTTAAAGCCAATAGAGGGGGCAACCAACAAAAGTCAAGTCATGCCATCAACAACATAAACACACACACACACACACACACCAGGCAAAACACTTAAAGGGTTACTCCAAGGACCATGACAACATCTGTGATTTATTTGAAGTGGCCATGGTGCCTGGAACTTGCAGTGTTTTGCTGCACATAGAGTTTAACCCTTTTATTACAATAATAGAAGTGTACCTCTGGTAGCAAGAGTTCCAAAATGTTAGAAAAGCATGCTAGCAATTGCATCAAGGGTGAACTCCCCACCCCCGGGCTTCAGATGTCCAACCCTCCGTCCATCCTAACCCTAAGTTATTCTACCTCCAATGAGGTGGAGTTATGTCAGTATGAGAGGGTAGGCTGACCAGATGTATGTTGAGAAAATTTTGTTGGTATGGTGGATAAAAGAAATGTATGGAATAAAACGTCACTTAATCTTGTGGCTAAAAAAAACCCCTTAAATATAAGGGCTAGATCTGTATCTATTAAACACACTGACAGACAAACACTAAATAAAGAAAATTAAAGGTGAATAACAAAATCAAAATTGTGTAAATTGTAATGTTCAGAGATCGTCCTATAGCAGGATTTAACAATAATATCTGCAGTTTAATACTGACCGGTAAGACTGGAATACAATTATTATAGAGGTTCTTCAATGTAACCTAAGTGGACAAAAGTAAGCCAGTGAGAACAGGGCTGTAATGTGATAGTTAAATGGTTAACCACACTATCTAAAAGTGGTGTGTGTAAAACACACACGTTGTTCCAAGCAAGGAAATACTTTTAGCGAGGAACAGTATATGTCCTGTTCTCAGTGGCTTACTTTTGTCCACTTAGGTTACACTGAAGAACCTCTATAATAATTGTATTCCAGTCTTACCTGTCAGTATTAAACTGCAGATATTATTGTTAAATCCTGCTATAGGACGATCTCTGGACATTACAATTTACACAATTTTGATTTTATGTTATTCACCTTAATTTTCCTTATTTAGCGTTTGTATGTCAGTGTGTTTAATAGATATAGATCTAGCCCTTATATTTAAGGTTTTTTTAGCTACAAGATTAAAAGTGACGTTTTATTCCATACATTTCTTTATCCACCATACCATCAAAGTGATTCCCCGTTTTTTAACCATTTAGTACTGTTACTTCCAATTCTCTTTTTCTTTATTCTACTTTATACAGGGGTCATCCCCCACACAGAGGTACCAGTCATTAAAGGGTCCATCTTTTCTTGTTTCTTTCTTTGTCTAACATCGAAGCATGAGAACATTTTGTAAATAATTTGATGAATGCCAGTTGTGTATTGATTGTGAGGGTATTTAAGAATGGTGCTCACTTTTAGGTTTTCCCACAGCAGAGCGACTGATTGCTTTAACCCCTTAAGGACCAAACATCTGGAATAAAAGGGAATCATGACATGTCACACTTCATGTGTCCTTAAGGGATTAAAGTGTGAAAGCTTTAAAAAAAAAAAAAAAAAAAATTCTTCAAAGTGACATTTTCATTTAGGATAAATAAGATTAATTTTATATATTAGCACAAGGCAAAAAAAAAAAAAAAAACAATAGCTAAATCAACTATGAAAGAGCTCATACAGAACGTCATATAACTGAATCTGTTGCTGCCAGTTATCCATTCACAGTTAAAATGGAAAAGAGGCAAAACATTATATAAAGGGTGAGGTGTGCATGTTCGGCAAACGCTCTTCTCTCGCCAGGCAGCTGCCACAGGATAATTATATAAGAAATGTGTGAGTTAGGAGACATGCTGTTTGGTGGAGGATTTTTAAGTCACAATGATCTGGTTTGGCTGCAGTGTGCATGGATCCCTTAGGGTTAGGGATGGTTCTTAGAGCCAGATTAAATGTTCCAAGCAGTATAGATTATTAAATCTACTGCATGGAGGATTACAAAAAAAACAAACCCTGACATTTACAGGATCTGTAAAATCCACAGGTAATAAGTGACAAAATGTCATACTAATAAAGATAAAACAAACACCATGTGTATATAAACATATAGATATAGAATATAGATAGATAGAACTCAGTAATTCATCCTTCCTTCTTAATGTACCAGCTGCTGGCTGCATGTCCATGTTGGATACTCACCAAGAATTGAGTGGATTCCCGTCTGTCTCTGGCTTTACAATCCCAGAAAATAACAACAATAATAATAATTCTAATAAAAGGAAATGAAATCACACTCTGTCCTGCTGGCACAGACTGCAAACAAAAACACGTTTACAACACTTCCGGCGCACACTTATTACGTCACTGGTGCATTAACGTCAATCAAGTGCGACGAAGTGAAGATGCCAGCCCATTGGTTAAGACATAGAAGACCCGAGCTCTTTCCGGCGTGAGCGGAGACAACGTAATTTTTCATTGGTTGATTTAGCTAGGAGGAAGTTTTTTTTTTTTGGTTTTTTTTTATATTTCAATAACGAAACTTTATTAATCAATCACACAGGAAATGTGTTCCTAACAATAGGCTAATGGGAAAGCAGAGAGCTCACCTGGAGATGAGAGCCACACACAGCCTTATGGTAGTTACAGGCAAGTATGGAATTATTTATTATATATTTATATTGTATTGGAAATGGGCAGGCATTTTAATATGAGTCAATGCTCTCCATGATGTGACATTTCACTGTAAATCCTTGGATAATCTGTAAATCCATTTATGTTGAGTGACAACATTGCTCCCTCAAGTATAAATGTAATTTTTAAAATCCACACGTACATACGTCAGCGCTTTACAATTTTTCAGAAGGGATATAAACCGTCAAATAATTGGCAAACAAGTTAAGTTAAAATGAAACAAGGAGAAGCAAATATAACAATTCACTCCAGTGTTGCATTACCCTGGTGTACGTACACAAATAATATATAATAAATAAAGACTTAAAGGATGGAGGCGTAGGCTAAAACAATAGGCTCCTCTTTCATTTCTGAGTGTTTCCAATGTATAATTCATGTGTTCAGATTGTTCCATAACATGTATGTAGGACAGGGAATGCATGTGCATGTTTTCTGGTAGAGAACTGGAAGTTTGCAAGACATGGACCACATGTATTTGCTTTGTTTGAGCAATGGGCACTATGACAGGTTTACATCTAAGCACCAAAACAACTTAGCTGAATAAGGTGGTTTTGGTGTGTAGAGGCTAGAGCATGCATGCGTCTGCAGTTTCACTGCTCAAGTCATTGCCATTTATGATTTAGTTCACAGTCAGATTTATTCACTATATATATATATATATATATATAGCAAAAAAACATCTGCTTGGCACTCTCCTTACTCCAAAATGGGTAAAAAAACAAAATATTTTTTGCCTAGGTGCAACCCGCGTTATAAATATATGTAAGCAGACAGGGGTGCACTCACAGGTCTTGAACAAGAACGACAATCAAATTCTTTAAGGTGAAAAAATCTTCATTATATCCGTGAACAAATCGACGTTTCGACCCCTAAGGGTCTTTTTCAAGATCACGGTGATCTTGAAAAAGACCCTTAGGGGTCGAAACGTCGATTTGTTCACGGATATAATGAAGATTTTTTCACCTTAAAGAATTTGATTGTCGTTCTTGTTCAAGACCTGTGAGTGCACCCCTGTCTGCTTACATATATATATATATATATATATATATATATATATATATATATATAATGTGAAACGCATTCAGAACCCGCTTAGGGTGATATTCCTAGCCTTTATTACTTCTCACACCCCTTTTACTGAAAGGCTAAGAACGTTAAGAGCAGTGGTGACTGAGCAGGGATGGGTTTTCAGTGCAGATATTTAAGTACTGCATTTCTGAAGGTGTTATCAGAAGTGTTTGCTGACCATCGTTAGAAATGTAGTTCAGAGAGCTCTGAAGTGCCAATGCTATTCATCGTGGTTCCATGATTTAAATTTTTTAACTTTTATTATGTTTTGTTTTAGTTCCATAGACTTAACATGGCAGCAGTCAGCTTTGAAGAGTTTTCTGTCCCTCCTGGCTCTGAGCTGGCTCTTCCACCACTATTTGGGGGGAATATCTTGGAAAGCGAGCTAGAAACCGAGGTAGAATTTGTTGATGGAGGTCTCAGCGGAGATAACCATCAGGAAGAGGAGGAAGAAGAAGCTCAATTGAGATTGAAAGAGCTCAACAAGCGGAAGTTCCTTGCCCTAAGTCGACGGTGCAAAGAAATTGAACAGGTTTGCACAGCAGATATATATCTATAGTTTTAGTGTTACAAAAAAAAACAAGTTTAAAGCAAAATTACTTGCAGATAAATAATTCCCAATGAAAGATCTGACAGTTTTTTTGTGTGGATGTATATGTTAAGGGATGCCAATTTGTAATACTTCAAACAGAATGTGTTAGTTATTGATTTAAGCAATAGCTGCTGAGAACATGTGATATGATTGGCTAAGCAGAACCTAAGACTCAGGAAGAGAAGCCAAGTCGCTCCTAGTATTTCTCTGTGCGGGGAAGAGAACATTTTTGTTTCATCTGCCTTGTGATGTGAATGCAACTTGTGCCATGAGGATGTCCTCTTTATCCGTCGCAAATATAGGTAGGTCTTCTGATATGTATGGTAGTGAAAAGATTTATATTAATGACAGAGCCACTATTGTTTCCTAAAGAAAAAAAAATTGTTCTGTAATAAACTCGCATGTAAAAGTCTAATTTGATATATCGTGTTTCATTCCAGGTAAACGAAAGAATCCTCAACAGGCTCCACGAAGTTCAAAAAATAACGCGAAGGCTTAAACGAGAAAGGAGGTAATGGAATTCTGAACTGTAATAAAATTCTTTGTGCAGTCCTCTCAAAGAAATGTTAAATGTTTTAACACCGATAAAAGAGATAATCATGTAATTTCTACTCCAAGAAAAACATATGGAAATAAATGCATATATCTTGTCATGTATATTAACACGCGTTTTTGTTTTAGATGTCTGATGAAAGTCTTGGACTCCTACGGAGATGATTATAGAAATAGCCATCTTACTTTTTTACTTGAGGTATGCCACATTATAATACAATCAGCCCTTTTTCTCAGTACAGTCAGGTTTGTATTGCCACCGTGCAGTGACTGCTCTATGTATTTGTGCTAGGGCAAAATGGAGAGAACTGATGCTTCTGAATCAGATAGTTTATAATCCGAAATGTTAACAATACCAGATTTCTCTTGCCATTTCTCTTTCTCTGCCAGATGTTTGTGATAATCCTGCTGGAGTCTGATTTAGTTTATTATTTTTCTTCTTAAAAAGGTCCTGTTGTTGCTTTTTGTAAATTTGGTGTAGATCATGTTCTAGTTGTTAAGCAATATTTGTATTATACTCACGTAGATTTTGGAGTAGATATTGTATTATATTTTTTGTTGTAGAGCTGGTGGATGAGATGGTTCCTTTGTTACTCACTAGTGTGTTTACACAGGTTTTAAGCATACTGCTATTTGCGCATAGTATGTCGTAGAAAGTGTATGTCGTCGTTGAGCTGTACTTCTTTTGTGGTCATCTTGTAGATTTGCTTTTTTAGGCGGCTGTATGTGGTATCTTCCATAGTGTTCAAATAGAGATTGTAGCCGTATTAGTCCAGTGATGAAGATGTAAAAACCAGATAAAATTCGTATTTTGAAATACCTTTTTTATTGGACTAAGATAATTTTTTAATGACAAGCTTTCAAGAGAACATCCTTTTTCAAGTCTGAAGCATTTCTGAGCAAGACGACACATAGGATTCAACGTTGAGTTGGGATACAGGAGTTAGTGACATGAGTGCAGATAAGACACAGGTTTGATAGAAAATAGACACCATTCTTGCAGAAGGTCATAAATATCACTCTGATCTCACCAGGATTTAGGCCAGGATACTCCCGGCATCATAATAATAATAATAATAATAATAATAATAATAGTTATTATTATTATTATTATATTATATATTTTTATATAGTGCCAACAAATTCCTTAGCGCTTTACATAATGATATAATGACTACAGCAGACTGTTATGGTTATGGTTATTGGCGTAATCCTTTAATGGCGGAATTGTACATGGAAAGTGTTTCCTTATTGTGAAGGATAAAATCATGCCAATTGTTTTATCCCCGTCACATGAATGAAAATTGGCCTGATTTTTATTAAGCCATGCACTCACATGATTGTCTACCTGTTAAGAAGGATGAAAACAAGGCAATGGAATTTTGCATGAAACGTGACTCCACAATGTTATGCATTAGTCGTTGAGAAAGATAAAAGAATGGCAATGGTTTATTTGTCCTATTATAGCAATTCATTTTTCATTTATTGCAAATGACAGCAAAGTACTTGGATTATTCACTAAATTGCATATTTTAGAGCCATAATTAATTTAAATATTTCCTTATTCCATCTATTTACTTATTGAGTACTGAATTAACGTTGAGAATTCAATTATACCTTTACAAAAAATCCTACTCTTGCAGGAGGAAGGGGCCCATCAGTCCAACACACCAAATCCTGAGGATTCTGAGAATGAACACCAAGAAAACGATGAGCTCACCATTGGTCAGAGATGTTTATCAGGCCAATCACTTGGTCTGGAGACTGCTAGCCCTGAAAGTCCATCTCTTACAGAAGGACCCCCAGCCAAAAAGAGAAAGAAGCAGAAGGAAGACAAAGTGCACATTGTCAAAAAGCTCTCCCCTTCTCTCCTTCCTTCAGAACCACTGCTGGCCCAGGTATACCAAGATAATTTTTTATATGATACATGTTCCACAGAGTCCAATTGGTATTGACTGTCATGAACTTTAATTTGATTAAAGATGTCCTTAAAGGGATACTCCAAGCACCATGACCATTTCAGCGATTTGAAGTGGTCAAGGTGCCTGAAGACAATATATACATCGTTTCTCTCTGGCAGCATCTTAAGGTGTCATCGGCTAGCCTGGAAGTAAAGTCTGTGCTGGCTAATATCAATTCTGTGCAATCTTTGTTTGTTTATTTTGTCATTCATGGCTCAGCTAAAACTCTCTGCCAACATTTTCGGCTTTGGGCTGTTGCTCACCATAGAAGAGATTGTGAGCCCAGTGGGTACTTGGATAAAGGGACAAACCTTTACTGAATGGTTTTTCCCATTACTGGAGAACTAGGCCAGGGAACCCCTGGTATCATGACCACTGCAGAGGGCTGTAGTGGCTATAAGGCTTGGAAAAACCCTTTAACAAGTACCTACCAGTATTAGCGAGTGATGCTGAATTACAACATCTGGTCAAGGAAGGGTCCAGGTTGTAGCGAGGCAGCCATCTTCTTTGGGCTCTCTATTGTCTCGATCTTTTTTCGATAAAGTAATGTATATAGTAATTTGAATTGTCTACACAAGCCACATAATTACACGTGCGGCACACATCCATGTGTTACATGTAAAAACATCTATATATCTCTAAGAATGGAGTTTTAATCTACTGTTATGGGAAAAGTTTTTAGTTTTTGTTTTGTATTTTGAAAATCACTACATTATTAACTGTAATACTACTCATGTAAATTACTTACATGCACCTTGTATAGTAAACAATATGTGGGACTAACCACACGGAAGCTTAAATGGACACTATAGGCACCCAGAGAACTTCATTTTATTGAAATGGCCTGGGTGCAATGTCCCTGTCCTCTTAACCCTGCAATTTAGAACATTGAAGTTTCTCGTTTACATTGCAGGGGTAAGACAACCTTTAGTGGCTGTCTTTTAGGTGCTTCATGAAGTTTAAGTCTGCGAATCAACATTGGGCATTCACTTGCATTGCATGAGGATGTCCTGCATCTTCAAACTCCCTATAGGAAAGCAGTGATTCAATGCTTTCCTATGGGAGGCTCTAATGCTTGCATGGCTCTCACCGCAGATGTCCACTATGTTCACCCATCTGCGAGATGCCGCTGGAGGGGACCGAGCCAGTGCCAAATGATCTCAGCGCTGGAAAGCGCTAAGGAAAAGAAAGGTTTTTTTTTTTTTACCCTTTATATGGGGGACGGGGCTAAAAAAAAATGGATGGATAAAATGGATACAGTTTTTTATTCCTAGCGCTATAATGTTCCTTTAAAGATAGGATGTGAGAACACATTAGATCAGTTTTGGATGATGATAAGGATAGTCCCACAACTGTAGCAAGGAATGTGTACATTTTCTAACTTGAATCATCTTAAAATTTAAGTTGTACATAGAGAAATTGTAAAAGGTAGTTGGGGCGATTTTTTTATATATATATATATATAATATAAAAAAATTTTTTTTTTTTTTTTATATATAAACTTTTATCTATTTAGAGGCTAAATGGATTTTCCATTTACTGACTAGGGTATCATTAGATCTAAACCTCGTATATAATGTGATTTGTATTGTGTAGCATAAGGGTATTTTAAGTTTATAGATTGAGCAGTTATTTATTGGAGTGTCTCTTTTTTTTTAGTGATTATTAAGGGTCAATCCGGGAGAGGATTTAGTACTAATAGGGGGTTAATCTATAAAGGGATGTCTTCACTATATAAGACGCTATCTGTGTGTGGTCTGCCTATGAATAAATGCTCTTGCAGCATGGAATGTGTTGGGAGTGGGCGAAAGACCAGGGTGCTGTTTTTTTTTTTTATATATATATATATATATATATATATATATATATATATTATTTATTTTTATTTATTTTATTTTTTTTACTATATCATACTATGAAGGCTTTGTCCTTTTTTTAATAAGTCCGTGTGTAGGAACCACATGCTGCTGAAGATCTAAAACTCCCATAGTGCTTTGCTAATCAACACTAGTTACAGTGAAATGACATTAGGGCAGCTACCCCCTGATGTAACACAAAAAGATGTGTACAGCCATCACACTGGATTATGGTTATAGAAAACCCTCTTTAAAGGAACACTATAGTCACCAGAAAAACTACAGCTTATTGTATTTCTTCTGGTGAGTAGAATCATTACCTTCAGGCTTTTTGCTGTAAACACTGTCTTTTCAGAGAAAATGCAGTGTTTATATTACAGCCTACTGATAACTCCACTGGCCATTCCTTAGATGGCTTCTAGAGCTGCTTCCTATCTCAGTCTTGCCTAGTGTGCATCACAACATTCAGTATCTCCATCCTCTGCATGCAGACACGGAACTTTCCTCATAGAGATTCATTGATTTCATTAATCTCTATGAGGAGATGCTGATTGGCCAGGGCTGTGTTTGACTTCTGCTGGCTCTCCCCTGATCTGCCTCCTTGACAGGCTCAGCCAATCTTATGGGGAAGCACTGTGATTGGCTCAGTACAACACTTCTTAAGATGTCAGCAGACAGCTTGCAGGTCTGAGGCAGAAAGGGCAGAGCCAGCAGCTTCAGGCTTGAATACAAGTAAGATTTTACTATATTTAGTGAGGCAAGTGAGGGACAGGGGGGCTAAATGGTGGCTTTAACACTATAGGGTCAGAAATATGTTTTTGTTCCTGACCCAATAGTGCTCCTTTAAGGAACACTCCAGACAGTCAAAGCACTCAGACAGCCAGGCAGGTCTTCATCCAATTCTGTTGGATCGACAGAACTAACCGATGCTGCAGACTTGCCGGGCTAGAAATCTGCCTTTTATCTTTGATGTGTGAGAAGCCTCTGACTGGTCATTTCACTGGCACAGACTAAACGTTTTTGTTATGGAAATGCTTTAATTATATGAAATTAAATTGTATATTAAAATTTTATTTTTCCTTGTATATGTAATTTTTTTTCTGTTTATTCTATCTAGCAATTTATTTATTTTTTACAAATTTAGCAGTCCATTTAAAAGTGACTATCAAAATCATGCCTTTTCACTGTTATCCGGTTTTAGAAATGTGACAAACAAGCAGTACAGTCACCCCCAGCAGTTTTTGGTTTTACAGTTATTTATTTTCATTTTTCTAGGTGAAGATTGAAGAGGACTATCTGTGTGAGGGGGATGAGGAGCTTCCACTCAGCTGGCAACCTCTCAGCCCACGTGACAAGATTCTCCAATACACAAAGTTTTCCAGCCCTGGAACTTGCCCGGACTTTGACTGACGCTCCAGATATTAGGCGATTCATATTTTGTATGTTGGAAAGATTGAATATGAATTTGAGTATTGTTCGGTGAACAGGATATTAAAGGGGCACACAGTGTGCAGTAGTTATGGTGTTTGGAGTCTTAAAAAGTGAATTACTGTGAATGTCCTCATTTTGCAGATTTTAGCAGAGACAAAGCTCAACATTCAGATCACTTGGCATAATACTGGAAATTACAGTACTATCCCAGCCAATCCCTGGCCTCCATTTCACTTTCATGAGAGAATTAGTGACTTGATGCATATGTGACACACAAATGCACGCTTACTAGGTTCAAATGCAAGTCTACTGCAAAGCTCCATATATTGCAGTAAAGGAAGTGTAAACATTACATGACTCCTTACAGGAAGTGTTTATGAAGGTTATGTAAGTAACATGCAGTGAGGTGTGACTAGGGCTGCATAAACAAAGTGATTTAACTCCTAAATGACAGAGAACTGACCAGTGAGACTGCAGGGGCACGATCCATACACCTGAACTACTTCATTAAGCTAAAGCTGTTTTGGTGACTAATGTCCCTTTAACTCTCTGGTGAAATGAAAAAAATATATCTACTTGGTTTTATAATGAGAGGATGTCTCAATGTGTCACAAAATGCCTAGATTAAATTTATGCACAAGCAGCGCCCATCTTTTCTGGAGCAGATTAAGAGATTATGCCCTGTGGTAAATTACAATACCTCCAATAATCAGGATGGTAGTAATAGAGGAATGTCAATGTTAAATCAGTCTGCATGCAAAGATCCACTTTTGCTAGCATAGGACAATTGTGTACTCTGTCATTCAATGAAAAGTTTTGTGTACGTGTTTTTTTGTTATACATTGTTTTGAGTTTCATGGAATTTCTTGTTGTTTATTCACTATTGTGAACATATATTAAGAGTATTAATGAAGTTACACCTACTTTAATTATAAAAACTGAGCTGGCATTGATAGTATTGAGCAACAATAGCATCAACTAATGCCCTACTGTACAGGTGTATATTTTCACAAGCTAATAAAATCTTTGAATATTTAGAGTTGCTTTACATAATGACTTTTGGTTCGGCTACATCATTTTTAAGAATATAATTTAATACGTCTTTACAAGAGATGTCCACATAGACATTGCACATTCCATCTGAGGACCAAAGTGGTTCTTAGACAATACTTTTAAACAAGGTAACACATGATATTTGGTCTGTATTTTCTCTTGGACCGGTGCTGCAGATGTTGCGTTATCTTTGTATTCACATGTTCTTAAACCAATCTATGTTGGGTCCAAGCTTCTCAGTAGGATGGCTGGGGACATCAGGTATGTTTCCATCGTCTCGAACAGGAACTGGAGGGCGGGAAAAAAAAAAAAATCTTTACAACTGCATGCTCACTGCCTCATATGCCAGAGAAACCATTTTTATACCACTGTGCCCAGTCATATAGTAACCACTTTATACAATTCATATCCGTGTTACATGGACAAATATCAATGGATTTCTCATGGTAAAGGCACAGATTCTGTGTTACAGAGATCAGATCTAAACTGCGTGTACAGCCTACGCTATATCAGAGCAGACTTGAAATAAACAGTTATGTTGGTTATGCTAACTTTACAATAAAAGTATAAAAAGATAAATATTTTACTATGCTAGGCCCATATCCTGCCACTCGGAAAGTGCCAAGTTAGCACATCTGACACTATATAATTGTTCTCACCTGGATAATTATATGGCGTCGCTTTATTCAGCTCTCCAGTTAATCTCGTATATGGGCTGACTACTGGAATGATAACCGCTGTAAAACAAATTTTAAAAAAAATAAATCAAAAATCACACAATTCAATATAATGTACAGATCTAGATAAACAATCCATAATTCCATAGAGTGCTTGACAAGACTGTTGATGTATGAGAAGCACTGGAAATGTAATTTGCAAGTATCTGTTCTGTGATTAGTTGTCACTGCAATTTGATAATTTCACTGCACAAATAAGCATGCACAATAATAAAAATGTGCAATAGATGAGGTGCAAGCAAATGATTTCTACAGAAGCTATTGATTGTTACTACGTTCATGAACTAAACTATCACTATTGATAAAGTACTTTCTAACTTTTTTTATTTTTTATAACCTGGTTTTGTGCAAGCCTTGCATAAAAATGGATGACGAAACAACCTTTTTGATATTCTTCACTTTCCAACAAAACCCAAGTTTAGTACAGTATATATTTACTTTTTTGCACTCCTATGTATTTAAGAACGCTGTTTCGTTCAAATAACTGAGCTAGTAAGCACAACTACTGTAGATTTGGCATGTCAAATAAAAGCAGTTTACAGGACTTGAGTTAGTAAATAGTAACATATCTTCCTATTCTATGCATCAATAAGAAAGTCTTGAATGTGATCACTAAACAGTTAAGTTATTTGTAGGGATATGAAAAGTAAATTAGGAAATTTTACCAAAATAGCGGATTCTGAAAAACTCTCCAGCTCAGATATAGTCACAGTTTGGATATTTTAGCCAAAATGTTGCAATATGTTTTGTTCCCATCACCACAGTGAACAAAGACTTCTGTTTTGTTATTATTGATGTAACGGAAGAAAGGGCTTACCCATAAGACCAATTGCTGCAGAAGCGGTTATGACAGGTTCTTTTGCCCAGGCATTTTTTAGAAATGCACCAAATTCTTTTGGAAGAGAAAACAATAGCATTATAAATTGTTTTTTAGAATGTTTTATTCATCCTGTAAGACATTGATTGGAGGAATAGCTCAAGCACCACATCAACTATAGCCTGCCCAATTCCTTTGACATTCCTTTGACATAAAGGTTTGACAGCAAACCTGATCCATTGAAAATATTTAAATTACTTACATTATCTTCAAGTTTTACTTAAAAATATATTGTCATATTGACACTGTAGGCACCATAACCACTTCAATGTATTAAAATGGTTATGGTGCTCACAAGCTCTGGGGCTCACTAAACTATTTACTCAACTTTTGGCAGTGAAGCTCTCTTCCTGGCAGCCTGTAATCCGCCTCCAGTGACAATACCGCCATGCCAGCAAATCTCTTAAATTACTGACTGCAACCCCTGGTATAGCATGAAGTGGAGCATAACGATAATTGAAGGGCGGGTTGCAGCCTGTCGAAGACCAAGCATCACTGCTAAAAGGTGATTAGACTGTTTAGTACTAGCGGGATCTCTGCAGTGGACACCACTCAAACAATAGGATCTTTCAAAGTGGTTATGGTGTCAAGTGTATTCCTTTAAAACAGCAGGGAGTGTTCAGACTAGTGTACCCCTCTCCTATTAAAATTAAATTGTATTCAATATAAAATACTATTCAAAGAAATATAAATATGAGGAATTTTGGAAATGGAAAAATACATCAATATTACAATTTATATTACAGCAGGAACCTAAGAATATAAACTGTTGGACCAAATAGAATATATATTCAAAAGGAAAACTTGCTAATTAGTCGGTGATAGAAGCAGGAAAAAAAAAAATCATAATGGGGGTCACATACACATACTGTCCATCTTCAGTAATTTAGCAGTGAGAAATTGGGTGGAGGGGAGACCACATAGTTTAGCGCATTTTACACACAAAGTCTAAAACCGGTCTCTTTACTGGGGCACTGCATAGAGTGGTGTTTTTCAACCTGTGCTACACATAACCCATGGGAATACGCCAAAAGCTGGTAGCAAGAGAGCGCTGATATCTGTGATCTTCCAGCACTGCTCACTTGCGCGTCCTGCGGCGATGCTGGGAGCGGGATTATGATAAACAGTGCGCAAGAGAGTAGTGCTGGAAGAGCACAAAGATTATACAAGCCCCACACTGGACACCAGTGAAAAGACTCATTCCACCTCTCTTAAAGGTAGTGAGGCAGGGTGGACTTAAATAAAAATATATATATAAATATATATATAAACAATAATAATTTGAGACTGCGTATGAGAGAATGTGTGTAAGTACATTTGTGTGTCAGTGTCCTCTGCTTGTAGCTATTATGTGTGTATTATATTTTCATTTTGTGACATTTATACTTCAGATTAATAGTTCATACACTCCTCCTTACATTCACAATATGTCATTTATTTTAGGAATATTCTTTACAAACTTTAAATCAAGCTTGTTCTCCAAAATGGGATTACCTGAAATATCAGTGTCTACACATTTCATTTGTCATTTAAAATCAGTAGGAATTACAAGAGTCAATTGGATTTGTTTTGTTTTTTTTTTGGACCTGCAGGGATATGTCTCCGTAAATATACTCTGTTAAATCTTTAAAGGGGCACTATCACTAGTGGGAATATTGCATAATTAAAAGGTATCTGTTTAAACCCCCTCCCCCCCTTTCCTACCACCACAAAAAACAAACAAAAAAAAGGTATTTAATGGTACTTTTATGCAAATATAAAATACATTTACTTAAAGGGGCATTCTAAGCACTGTAATCATAGCAGCCTGCTGTAGTAGTTATGGAGCCTGAGTCTTCCAGTACAGTGTTAACCAGTCATTTGGTGTGTGACTAGTCTCTATGTGTAATGGCTAAAGCTAACCCTGCACCCTGCATATTCTATGAAACAGTGCTACATCAAACTATAATATCATTATTGTGATTGCCTATCCAAATGAATCCTGTAATGGGTGGAATGTTGCAGCTGAACAATCATGTCATGTGACAAAGGATTCCTGACCTCAGTATTTGCCTCTCACCCCTTCCCAGCACTGACCCATTAAACAAAGACTGCACACACACACACAAGGTATCTGACATCCCAAGATACTGGACTGATCCTGGATAAATAGCACGACATAAGCATGGCTTTGGGGGTCTATACACCTTCCCAATTAATTATCTATAAAGGATGTTAATAAAGAGAAACACACAGTAACATTGTTACATTCTCCTTGACAAGCACTTACTAGTGAAGGCAGCCATCTTGCCCCTTAAAAGCCTACCGGAAGCGGAAGTTTAAGTCGCTGAGGATTCTGGAACTTGTAGTACTTTTTTCCTTTTTTTTTTATACTTGTAACCAGCAGGGGGAGTCTTCAATGCAATTAGTGATACAAACACTGATTTGTTACACTTGGAAATACATGTTATTACTGATATGAAAGCAGACGTGTCATTGTGTGCTTAATTTAATGTACAATAGCACAGCATTGCAGCAATACGCTCAGGGCTCACTCGATAAACAGTGCGTTGGAATTAACCGATTTGTAAAATGTAAGCTAAATTAATCAGGCTGTGACATTAGCTGAGGTGGAGAACAGCATACCTCCCAGGATTTTGAAATGGACAAAGGGGGACATTTTCATTTTAGGGGTGTGAGTGGGTGTGTGGCCAGAGATGGGATTGTTCTGAAAAGGTTTAGGTGACTTACTAATAATTTATGCAACTAAAATGTAACTTAGAGTGTCTCAGTGCTCCTTGAAGAACTAACCTATACTTGGCACTTAGCAGAACTAAAAGCAACACATTTTCTGTGCTATTCTCATGACAACCATGAGGTGTTGATCGAAAATGGCAAAAGTAGCTCCTTCACCAAATCCCCCAAAATGAGGGACTTGCTCCGCAAGACTCAGAGCAAGCACGTGCCTAAGATGGCACCCATGAAGGAACTACCTCCATCCGAACATAGTTACGTCAGTAACTCTGTTCCTAAACTACCTAACCAGAGCTAGGAGTCATCCAGGTCCTGGACCATAGGACCATAGATATCTATGAACCACGTACCAATCAAATGGAAGATTGTGCCAGGTTTAGTGTACTAATAATCTTAATTTTAATAATGACAGGAGGCAAGTATTTTGCATTAACTTCCTTTACTACTCCATAGCAGCAAAGAACACATAAAAAAAAAAAAGGAACCAATCAGAAACAGGTCGATAGCATAACATACACCTCCCACTGAGACACTTCCTCTTGATAATAGCGACATCACAAGTCACAAAGTAATTTAAAAAAAACGTAAGGAATAAGAAAAAGAGTCCAAAACTTCGGGAAAGATGAATAAGCCGTAAAGTCCATTGGAACTGTGGATGCTTGATTCAGACGGACTCGCTGTAATTCATTAAGCTGAAAGAGAACGAGAAGGTTTTAGTGGAATGAAATATAACGTGAAAAATACTAGCAACCATTGACATAAAAAACTTGAATAATTCAAAACTATTACAATTAATGATGACTTACATATAGACGAGCTAAATGCAACTATTAGACTAAGACGTCTATAAATATATACCATGGACATAGTACAAGAACAACCCCAAGTACTAAACTGGGTGTATACCAGTGAGTGTAACCATATGTAAACCATCCCCACAATATATATATCGGCAATGACTTACCTGAATAAGCTTAACCTAGCTCCAGGGAAGGGAAAAGTAATGGGGGAATACTTGTCTCCTGTCATTATTAAAATTAAAGGACCACTATAGTCACCCAGACCACTTTAGCTCAATGAAGTGGTCTGGGTGCCAGCTCCCCCAGGTTTTAATCCTTCAGATGTAAACATAGCAGTTTCAGAGAAACTGCTATGTTTACATTGCAGGGTTAATCGAGCCTCTAGTGGCTGTCTTCCTGAAAATTGCATTGAGAAATGCTTTCCTTTAGCCGCGCATGCGCATTCGACTCCACTCGGGAGCTGACGTCGGAGGGGGAGGAGAGGTCACCAGCACCAAGGGATCCCGGTGTTTTAACACCTTCAGCCCAGCAGGAGGGGGGGCGCTGAGGGTGGGGGGACCCTAAGGATTATATAGTGTCAGGAAAACAAGTTTGTTTTCCTGACACTATAATGATCCTTTAAGATTCTAGTACACTAAAGCTAGCATAATCTTCAGTTGTATTACATGACAGGAGGCTTCATATTTTGCCTTTTTAACACCAAGACATTAGTGAGACGGCGGCATGAGTAGACGGGCGGAAGTAAAACGTACGAAAGGTGGTTTCCCATGACCAGTCTGCCACAAGTAAAATGTCTGATAAGGAGGCCCTTGCCATGATGGTGGAGGAGGCTGCTGCACCCTGAACCGAGTGAGCACCAAATGAAGGGTCAATCCCGGCTAAAGATAAAGCCATCAGACCCATCGGGACAATGTGGCAACCGATACCGGCCCATGTGGTCTAACATAGGACACCAACAATTGTCTGGATGAAGAAGTTCGAAGCATAGCTGTAGCGGTCACGTAGGTGTGTAGTGCCTGGACCAAACAAAATTGGGGTTCAGATGGGAAAAACGGATAGAAAATTGCAATTGAATTCGACTTGGTACGTCGAGACACCCGAAAAGTGACCCCTTCTGGAGAAAACTAAAAGGCGTCTACATCAAAGGCCCGAACATCTGAAATCCGATGGAAAGATACTAAACATAAAAGGAGTGTAAACTTCGCTGTCAATTATCGTAAGGACAACTTATTGTTGGAAGGCACTCCTTTATGAAATTAAGAACCTGGGATACATCCCAAAGGGAGGAGTACTTCGGGGCCAATGGTTTATGCACACGAATGCCCCAAAGCAATCTACAAACCAAGGGACTCTGACCTACCAGTTTCCCTTGGATTGGCCCTTTAGCTAGGCTTTGAATAGCGAAGGCGTCTGCCAATAGTTCCAGGTAATTGATGTGCAGGGCGAGTTCTTCTGTTGTCCAGACACCGCCTGTGGCCGTCTGCCCATTGGTGGCACCCCAACCCCATCAACAGATGTCCGATTCCAGGACAAAGTCTGGCTTTTTGCCAAAGATGGCTCTGCCGTTCCATGCCTGCATACATTCAAGCCACCATCGAGGTTCTAGCCGTACTTCCTCTGTTATGGGGACCGGTTTGTCGTACGTGGGATTTTAGGCGTTGCATGGCCAGATAGTGCAGCGGGCCTGGGAAAATCGCCTGGATGGAGGAGGATTGAAGGCTCACTATCCGTGACAGCATTCTGAGTGGGATTGCGTCCCAATGCATTATTTTGCATATCTCGTTGCGAATCAACGCGACTTTGGTAGCTGGAAGTCAGAGTGTACATGACATCGAGTCGATGTTGAATCCCAGAAACTGGACACATTGAGTTGGAATTAGTGATGATTTAGTCCGATTCACCAGGAAACCGAGGGATTCTAGCAAGGTCACCGTGTAATCCGTGGTTGAGACTAGATGACTTTGGATCTGGTCGAAGAGTAGAATGTCATCCAGGTAAATCAAGCAAGGTATGCCTTTTCCTCGCAAGTGGGCCATTACTGGTTTCAAGACTTTCATAAAGCACCATGGTGCTGAGCTGAGTCCGAAGCCTGAGGAATATTGGAAGGGTTGTCGGCTGTCCACTTCTGGATAGAATGGTGGAGGGCGTGAGTGACTGGGGCCTGATGGCCAGAAGCCGCTGGTGGCATGCCCCCTCTGCCAACCAGCCCGTCCAAAAACACCCCTGTGTGTGTTGCAACGAAAGACCCTGTGTAACGATGACTGTGCTTTATTCAGAGATGTAAACACGTTTGTTCGGTTCTTTCATGAACTGATCGCCGAATAATTGACCTCGAGCTTGAGGGCCCAGCTCTTTGGCCCTGAGGTCCACCAATTTGCCGTCAATTCGAAATAGAGAGGGTCACATTTGTGTTGCCCACGAAGCAAAAGCATTATTGGGCCCATTCACGGATGTTGTGCACCCAATCTCGCAATATGTCTGCATTTTAGCAGATGAGGGGTCGGCGTCCAATCACCGGAGCAGAGATGGCGGATATTTGGGTCAAACATCCATTGGCCCATGGGGCCCCATGTGCCATCATCTGAATGGGAGTCTTCAGCTTGCCATTCGTCAAGGACTGACAGTGAGGGAGGCATATAGTGCTCCTTGTCCGAGGAGGCATTATGAGTAATGGGGATCACTGGTTGTGCCAGTCTTCCCTTCATATGGGGAGCCTTACCTTTTGAAGGTTTTGGCTTGGACCCTTCGCCCTTCCAATGATGTTTTGCCAGGCTTCCATGGTCCTTTGATGAGGAGTCTGAGTCGTCCAACACTTCTCTCCTTTAAGAGTGTTTAGGTGGACCTGTGGTAGTGTTCAAAGTGGCAGGCAGCGCCTTAGCTAAGGCCTTCTCCACTTATGCAGCAACTGCTGTGTTGATCAGAGGGAATCTGAGAATCTTCCATATTGGAATATTAAAATAGTATTTGGGGCTCACCCAAGTTAAAATCTGAGAGTAAGTAAAGAGGCAAATTGGTGACACGGACTGCCTGGGGTACAGTGGTCAAATAGGTAACGCACGATAATGCAGACTGAGGCAAAAGTTGGGGCTCACCCCATAATAAGGAGACTGCAAGCACAGCTCCACTCGGCAGCACAATATGTGGGGGCTCACTAGGCCAAGACCTGACTGGCTGACACACCCCCAAGGTTGCAGCTAACCTGAAACAGGTCCCTGTGGCAGGCAGTATGTAGCAGAGGTGAAATCTGCACAGTTTTTGACAAAATTGGCAGCAGACAAATTATTTCCTACTATCCTGATGAAACTCCTAACAACCAACAAGGTTTAAGATGGCCGCCGCAGATCTCACGACGCGAGACCCAAAATGGCCACGAAAAAAACCACGAAACGCGGTGTCATGCCAAGGGTGCTTAATTCATTGTTGCACAATATAATATTGCCATTTAATGTAATTTGTGTAGTGCATATGTGAATTGGCCACTTGGTAGAGGTCAGATGACAGAAGGAATAATGTAAATTGTATAGGAATGTGATAGGGTGCAGATGGTTTACAACATGGATTGATTATTTGCTTAATCAAAGGCTCTGTAAGGTGTGAAAAGTCACACATAAGTGGCCTGGAAGTCTATTTCTAATGTAAACAAACTGACTTCAACCATATGGCCTGTACCTCTTAATTGATGAGTTAATTTCTTTGATATGTTAATCATCAAGAAAACCCTTGAGTTCCAGTATCATATCCAAAAGAAACATTAATAATTACCCACAGAATAATAATTAAGCCTCATTTTTATTAT